TCGCTTATACAACCATGCGACGTCTATGTTTATAGACAAGTGAAAAATTTTATTTAAAGAATCCAAAATTGCAATTTCTTAATTAAAAGTAATTGGGAAATATCAAGTAGAAGACGGAATAAAAATACATTACCTAGTACACTATCAACTGTCAAAAAGTCCCAAGTACCAATGTTGCAGTATGCATTTGTTGCTGGATTAACAACACAAAGAGAAATTGTAGCTTTAATCGTAAATATCGTAAAATCTCTTCAATATGCTCCTATAATGGTATATCATTAAGCATAAAGAAAACAAATAATAATTATGTATGAAAATGCATTGCACTTTGCCGTCTTTGTAAAATAAAATGCGCTACGCTTTGAATTTCAATCTTTTTCTAGTCTCACGATCATTAGATGGTTGGAGAAATTTGATACATGACCAAGAACATGCCAAAATTTGTTCAATTGAATTAAAATTGAAATCTTCATACAAAGAAGCATTGATCGGAATGCCTTTTAAGAATGAAGTCACGTTTCGCTGAGCGTGGACGCGACTCATTTATTTAACTGATACGTGGCACGTGGCACGTGGCACGTGATAGCCCACGCCAAACACCAGGAGCGTAATAATGCTCTCATTTCCTCCGAAATCATCTAGTCGTCCGCCAATATATCCATCTATATATCTATTTATCTATTTATTTTCATTTTTAAATCCGATCGTACTCAGAGATCGCTTTCCGCGTCCAGGGAGAAAGTTCCAACGGTCGACGACAAAATGCACGTTGAAAATACGTCCTTCGGCCCGCGAAAAATAGCGAAGACTACAAGCCGTCCAGAGTGGAAAACTCTAGACGCGAACAAGTGCGAGATAAATCGTAAAGATTTAAAGACTTTAAAGACTAACCTAAACTTAAGATTTATTACCGAGATTAAAATGATATTAAATAATATTCTTAATATTGATATAGTTTGAAAAGAAGACAAAGTATTGGAAAAACAGTTAATGGAAACCGAAGATCAACTGGAGCAAGAGAAGAATAGATATAACATTCATTGTTTCCTATTTCGTGCAAAGTGTAAAACATTAATTAGATTACAAAATAAGCTTCCTTAAGGGAATATAGATGATAAAATAGCTGAAAGAAAACTATCGCAACTAGAGTGTTCGGTTTTGTTTTTATTTTTATAACAATATTACTATTTAAAACATTGCGAGAATCTATACGGAAACAGCAGCAAATATGCATGATGTACTTCACCTATTTTGTATAATAAAATGCCCAACATTTTTGATTTTCATTTACCTAGTCCAAAATCGATCATTCATTGGTTTGGTAAAATAAATATATTGCCAGGTATATCTCAAAATTTATTCGTAAGATAAAAGCTACTCACATGGAAGTAGCCGATTGCAATTGCGTTCTTTTATTTCATGAAATGCATATCAAAAAATGCTTCAATTTCCGCCAAACTAAACAAATTATTGACGGTTTCGAAGATTTGAGAATATCTTAAGTAGACGTAGAGTCGTGTGCTCACGAGTACTTGTTTTTACGCGGGCTATTTTCAACTGGAAATAACACCACGGCTTTTTTTGAAACAAAATCTGTAATATGAAAAAATGAATTAAATTATATTTTGAAATGAAATTTTAGATGCAGTACATGATAATGACTTCAAAATCAAGGAAATGGTTATTTCCAATTAGGGAAGAAGTACTATGAACATAGCAGACAACCGAACACCTATTCAAAAAATTTATTTCATTTTTGATTTCTTATTCTATAAGAGTATAAGAAATAACTTATTAAAATATAATTTTAAACGAATCAATTATAAACGAATAAACAAATCAATTATATCTTAAGGTTCGATGTAGTTGCATTATGGAATTTAAAGAAAAATAAAGCTACTGGAAGAGTTTACAAATTATCTAATAAACGTGTATGGGCAAATCCTTTTGACAAAATGAGCAAGCTTGCTCTGCAAGTCATTAGAAAGCACTTTTAGTGTGCACTTTCACGATTCTACAATGTAGAAAAAATAAATGAAAGTTACAAGCGTCCAACATGGCTAATTGGTTTGTTAAGCCATCGAAAGGATTAAAAAACCGCATTTGTTTTTTAGGATTACGACAATCCGTGAATGTCACCTTGCAACAGTGGAACAAGACAAGAAGAAGACATTATATTTTTAATAACTTCGAGATTAAATACAGATTGTTTAAAGAACTTCTCCATTCTCTGGATGCAAGGTGGCTCATATATTCGCAATCCTCCGGTAAAAGCAGTGCGTATTGCAATTTAAAAAGAATATTTTGCTATCCTTGGAAAGTAGTAGTGAAAATACAAATTGTATGTTGGATATGAATGACACATCGTTAATATCGAAGGATTTTACGCCACTATGTGAACAAGCCGCGCACTATCTGCAGTTTCATTTCGTAATAAAGAACATACTGATGACAGTACGATGTATTTTTGATTACAAGAATTCATAATCTGTCACAGTACGCTCTTAAAGAAACATGTGCTATTGAATATTTTGCAAATTATGTTGTTAAAAAGGAGATAGATAAAACGGAGTATGTCATAATTGTTACGACACATTAGTATATATAGTTTCACACAATAGTATAAATAAAATATAATACTCCTTACAATGAGCAATTACTATTATCCGGGTATATATTGTAGAAGATAATATAGACCTCGGATAGCGGTTATCGTCAGATTTATTCATCGCATTGTTAACGGGCATAAAAACATCTACTGTTCGGCGCACTTTAGTTTCTTTGAAATTTGAAACGACAATTTGTTTGACAATTTAAATAGTTAAATAGTATACACGTGATTCCAATTTAAATAAGTGTACACTTTCGAGATTCTATAGCAATGTAGCAACAAAATTTGAAGTTATAAGCCTCCAATAAGGCTAACTGATTTGTTAAAATCGAAGGGATTAAAAGTACTTCTTTGCTTTTCGAGATTGCAGAAATTTGCAAGGTGGCGTCTGGTGAACGACCAGGCCTAACAATATGGCTCAGTACTAACACTGAACCAATGATAATCCTCCTAAAGTGATCTCCAAACACTTATTCATAGGACAAATTCTAGTCATCTACACTCCTTTCCGCTTCCCTTCTATTTGCAAAAAAACAGAACTATGAAAAGACGTGCTAGGAAAAGAAAGAAGCACTCTTTTTCATTAAGGGGACTAGAGATATTGCCCTTGACCATGTTTGCAACGTAAAATAAAATTTTCTAAAAAAGTATAAATGTTATTTCTTTACGCGAAATCCAACACAAAATCTGGTTTGAAATGTGGAACTGGTTTGACATTCATCAGTCTCGTCGAACTCCAGGTTGAAGAATATCCAGCGCGAGAAATGAACTATAATCTAGATAACCACATGAACTCAAAAGAAGAGTAAACACAGGCTGCCATGATAAATGTGCATCGTAATTACTGTTACAATTTGTCTAAGATCTTCCTGTCTCCTCCTTTCAAAAAAAAAAAAGAAAGAAAGAAATTAAAAAAAAGAAAAAATTTTCCTGAGAATTTTTCATTTCCTTATATATTATACAATACGATGTCAACTGCAGAAAGTACATGCATTCTCCAGTTGCGATTTCGCAATTTTCCTTGGAATTTCTTTCCTTGGAATTAAATTGTTATCAGACTCGTTCGATTACGACACATACAAATTACGTAGTTTTACAAAACAGGTTGACGCTATCTTCGAGCTGGCTCAACCATCTCAAACTGTTCCGTTACTATAAAAATTAAA